TTGGCAGTCTTTTTATGTTTGGCAGTCTTTTTATGTTTGGCAGTCTTTTTATGTTTGGCAGTCTTTTTATGTTTGGCAGTCTTTTTATGTTTGGCAGTCTTTTTATGTTTGGCAGTCTTTTTATGTTTGGCAGTCTTTTTATGTTTGGCAGTCTTTTTATGTTTGGCAGTCTTTTTATGTTTGGCAGTCTTTTTATGTTTGGCAGTCTTTTTATGTTTGGCAGTCTTTTTATGTTTGGCAGTCTTTTTATGTTTGGCAGTCTTTTTATGTTTGGCAGTCTTTTTATGTTTGGCAGTCTTTTTATGTTTGGCAGTCTTTTTATGTTTGGCAGTCTTTTTATGTTTGGCAGTCTTTTTATGTTTGGCAGTCTTTTTATGTTTGGCAGTCTTTTTATGTTTGGCATTCTTTTTATGTTTGGCAGTCTTTTCTTATTTGGCAGTCTTTTTATGTTTGGCAGTCTTTTTATGTTTGGCAGTCTTTTTATGTTTGGCAGTCTTTTTATGTTTGGCATTCTTTTTATGTTTGGCAGTCTTTTCTTATTTGGCAGTCTTTTTATGTTTGGCAGTCTTTTTATGTTTGGCAGTCTTTTTATGTTTGGCATTCTTTTTATGTTTTGCTGTCTTTTCTTATTGGGCAGTCTTTTTATGTTTGGCAGTCTTTTTATGTGTGGCAGTCTTTTTATGTTTGGCTGTCTTTTTATGTTTGGCATTCTTTTTTTGTTTGGCAGTCTTTTCTTATTTGGCAGTCTTTTTATGTTTGGCAGTCTTTTTATGTTTGGCAGTCTTTTTATGTTTGGCATTCTTTTTATGTTCGGCAGTCTTTTCTTATTTGGCAGTCTTTTAGTTGATGGCAGTCTGTTTGTAGTGTTAGGGTACGTTCACATTCTTGTTGCTGGTCCCTTGAATACTTCGTTGCAGCTACATGTTTATTTCAATGTAATATTTTGTGACTGTAGTATGTTCGCTGAAGAGGGCTCCTTGCCGACACCTTCCTTGTGTTATTGTGTCTTTTTTTCAGGTTTACCCATACTTTTTTCGTTCACTTCATTTTAGGCTCATTTAAGCTGTTTATTTTACGTTACATCTGCTGGTTAATTTAAAAAAAGTATATAGTAGTCAATGTGTTATGAACTCCTGTTTATATCGTTCGTAGTCTCAGTTGTAGTCTGAGGTTTAAGAGCTACTGTTTACAAGTCATTTCGGTGGCTCAGTTGTAGTCTAAAAGTTAAGAACTTTTGTTTACAGAGTTAGTTCATTGGCTCAATTGTAGTTTTGGGTTATGAACTACTATTTACATAGTCCGTTCGGTGGCTCAGTTGTAGTCTAAGGGTTATGAACTGCTATTTACCTAGTCCGTTCGGTGGCTCAGTTGTAGTCTAAGGGTTATGAACTGCTATTTACATAGTCCGTTCGGTGGCTCAGTTGTAGTCTAAGGGTTATGAATTGCTATTTACATAGTCCGTTCGGTGGCTTAGTTGTAGTCTAAGGGTTATGAACTGCTATTTACATAGTCCGTTCGGTGGCTCAGTTGTAGTCTAAGGGTTATGAACTGCTATTTACATAGTCAGTTTGGTGGCTAAGTTGCAGTCTAAGGGTAACAACATCTCTTCACAAAAGCATCAATAAAAGGTGTGGATCACTTTAAGAGTTCTCTCTCTATCCACAACACATTCTATGTACCATCTTCCTTCAACTCTCACTTCGCATACTAACTTCTATCCGTAACAACAAACAGCAATCATCTCTAATGCCCCAAAATGGCCCCAATCCATACACGTAGCGTTCGTCATTTCAAAGACCGGAAAACATCACATCGCATTACGCAATGTTACTATTTTTAGACAAGCTTTTGTAAAACATAGCTTCTAACAATGTATTTTCGTGAATATACAGCAGTAACAATTTTGTTTGTAAAATCGGTCGTAAAATAAAGTTGTAAACAAGTTTTCGTCTAGGTTTAGACCCACTATTCTGGCTCACATAACGTACAAGTACAGAACAGCTGTCGGGAGATTGGCCAAACGGAATACCAGGATGTTTTTATTAATATCGAATTGAGATTGGCCAGACCGTATGCCCAGATGTTTTAATAATAGATTTCCGCCATTGAATGACAACTCTACAGCATGCCAACAGCTGGAAAATAAAACTATGTCGTGAACTTCTACTGTCTTTGTAGTAGTCCAATCTATCGTCAACTCATACTGACATTGTAATAGCCCATCTATCGTGATCTTCTACCGTCTTTGTATCAGTCGATCTATTGTGAACTTCTACTGTATTTGTAGTCGTCCCATTTATCATCAACTTCTTCTGTCTTTGTGGTAGTCCATAGATCCCCCACTTCCACTGTCATTGTAGTATTTCCATCCATCGCCAACTTCTACTGTTTTTGTTTTATTAAATCTATTGTTAACTGATACTGTCATTGTAAATCTATCGTAAACATCTACTTTCTTTGTAGTAGTCCATCTAGCGTGAACCTCTACGGTCTTTGTAGTAGTCCATCTATTTTCATTTTGTAATTATAAGGCAAGTTGTTGTGTACTGAATTGTGTAACAAACAAGATAATTGTTCCCGTATTTACTAATGAACTTAAAATTTTTACAAGTGAGCTTAACCTACTAAAGCAAAGCCCAAGCTTCAATTAAATTTGTATGATGTTTCTTATAAGCATCTTATCATTGGTAAACTCTGATTACGTTATCAGAAATGTATTACTGATATCAAGTTAGGAGGCAGAGATGCACCTTATGATATCAAGTTAGGAGGATGAAATGTACTAATATTAATCTATAAATATTTGTATTATTTAATTATTCTTTTTCAGAGTAAGTAATTTGACCCACCTTGACCCACAGTACAGGCCCCCATGAGAGTGATACCATTTCTGGGAGGTGACACCCAATTGAAAACTTCATAAAATGATAACCGATCACGCGTAACACATTGTCATCAATCCAAAGGTATCTTTATTAAAAGTTCAAGGTCAATATGGCAGTAAGGAGGTAACCCTGTAAGGAGGGTTCCTAATTAAAAGGAAGGTATCTAAATTCTGAGAGATAAGTTATTTCATTTGATATCGAACACGATGTGGTCGGGCGATTCATATCATATTATGGCTCTTAAAAACATTTAATTTGCCTCCTAACCTTGAACTAATTAGCTTTTGTTCTTGTCATTGTTACACTGTGGACATACTTCAACAACAAGAAGAAGTCCATCGTGGAAGTCGGAGTGAGTTGACCACACCGAATGACACCAACTGAGATATGTAACCAAGATGTGTTCTTGCCCTAAGCATGTGTTACGTTTGGCAAAATATGTTCCATTCCCTTCAGAATGTAAGTGTTATGTAATACATACGCCACCCCCTATTTTATTTGGGATCTTTACTGTTAATCCCGTTCTGGTATTTTGATCGCATTCCATTTTTTTCTAAGATGCAAACGGAGAGACTGGTCTCATAAAACATGTTTTCTCTGTCAGGAGATAAAATCCTTATCACAATCAACACACGCTGAACATCCAAGTCAACATCACACAAGTAGTTCAACATTTCTTATCTGCCCTGTCTCCATCGCTGGCAACCAGCTTGACAATTTTAAAATAAATGAATGAATTTGAAACGTTGTAGAATATCAAGAAACATAACTGCGATGTCTGGACAAATTTTGGTATTTAGAAGCTGAGTTTTGCGTCATCTTATTCTTCTAAGTGCATCCACTGCGTTCATGATTCTCTTTGATTTGTCGCCTTAAGTTCAGATAAATAAAAACAGTCACCGGTCTGCTATCTGTAGTTTTCATATCATGTTTTTAAAATATATTTACTTTCAAGTAAAGAACAAAGCAAACATTGTCAATTGATGGACCTGAATTTATTATCACGTGACAATGATAAGCAAGATCACGGGCGGGGGGGGGGGGAATGCACAGATCAGCTTATTGAAATGAATCTGTGTAAGAAATATATAAAATATAAAGTAATACATACAATTTAAAAAAAAGATCAAATAAAATTTCAAAACGCTCGGTTAAAAGCATACATGTCAACTGATGGAACTATACAATTATATAAATATTTATAGGTATGCACACATTTAACAGAAACTCTGCTGATAATATTTACAAACATACAAACATTAGCATAGATACACATGTTTGAATATATTTTTCACTTCTGTTATGTACCCAATGTTAATCATTAAGGTACGCCATGAGTATATTTAGTACAAAACATTATAAGCTATTTTTAGATTAATATCGTTTGAGGTATCCATGGGGCGCCCTCGAGCTGGCAAAGACCACGGGGCGTCATCAATGTCCTGGGTTGGGATATATCATAGCTAAAAATGAGCTATGGGTAGGATGTGCAACAGCATGTGACATAATGAGCCAGTCTACAACAGATATTTAAGTATACATATCATCATGTAAGTTTTCTGTGCAAAGGCTCACTCGAGTGTACATTTGTAAGATACATTTATACAAGGCACTCAGAGTGTCATACATGGTTATCACCAGCTAATTCCAGGTCACCCAGGACTCTTAGTGTCACACATGGTAATCACCAGCTACTTCCAGGGGCCACAACAATATTCAGACTTTTGATAGAAGACTCAAATGAAAGACCAAGTAAGATAATTATACTGTTTACAATAGAACTTAGGATGAGTATGATGGTGACGTGATAAGAAGGACAGAGCATAAGGATTAAACACTTTGTCAGAGTGATGTGTTCTACTACGTGATTAAGTAATAGTTTCATTAGCGTGAACAAATCAAGTGAATTTACGTGTTCATTTTTATTTCTTGGCAATCTCACAAATCCTAAGGCTAAGTTTTTCATATTTCAATCTACTTTCCTTTTTAAAAATTTAAAATAGAAATCAATGCCTAGTTCTTTTAAAACAAACTTATCAATTTAATTTTTTAACACGACTGATCTTCATTTATTGTTCCTAAAACAAATCTTTTTGGAAAAATAAATTTTTTGATTGAGTAAATATTTTATTACAATATTGTCAAATGCTTTAAAAGAGCAAAAATTATTGCGCTAACAAAGACTGAAAGTAATTAAACTTTAGGGCAATATTAAAGAATCAGTGGCATGCCATCCTGGCAAGTCTACCGACGGCATCCCATCCTGGCAAGTCTACCGACGGCATGCCATCCTGGCAAGTCTACCGGCGGCATACATCCATGGTCAGATAGGACACTATGTTTTGCCTTCCATCTCCAAATCTTTCTGGCTAGCTTTCTTAGCATTTTCTCTCTTGACTTTTCTCTCCTCCCATTTGAAGAGTGCCAGCATGAGGAAAAATGTGATCTGTACCACAACATGGACCCCCACGTCTATGCCTGACAGGAAGTACCTAGGAGAACAGACAGAGCATTGGTAACATAAGTCTGAGTCAGTAATGAGTCAACAGACAGACTGGTCTCTAATAATAACTATTTTCTTACCACTCCAAACTACACGAAAAAGTAAAATAACGTATCTTGAAGCTTGAATCCAAAGACTGGACAATAGATATTATCCACACTAAATACATTATAAATAACCCACTCTATAGTAGAATTGTCGAATTGACCCTCAGTTAGAAAAAGACATAAACAATGTACACACTTTAATTGTACGACCTTCCAATGTACACCCTTCACCTTTCATTGTACAACCTTCCAATATACAACCTTCCATTGTAAAACCTTCCAATGTGCAACCTTCCAATGTACAACCTAAGTTTGCCTGTTGGCCAGCCTTGCCCACTCACTCCTATTGCCATGACTACGCAGAGCTCTAGCTTAGATCCTGGAAGTCAAACAATTATTGGCCGTCTTGCCTCGTTTCAAATATGCCCAGTGCTTTGGATGTCTGGATAAAAGGTGAACATTTTTAATGATATACATCCTTCAAACCTGGTCAAGGTGGCAGTTATGCCAGGGTGGCCTAGGTCCTCATCTTACGCTGATGATTAAGCAAACCGACACATTTTCAAGTGACACATTGTCTCCAACTCACCTGACCTTGTCCCTGTCATACAGCGTGCAGAACTTCCCATCCCACACCAGGCAGGTGTCGTCCATGACCTGACCAAAAAAGTTGGGAGCTGGGATGGCCACTGGAATAACAGGTGTGCAATATCAATTCATCGCACGTTTCACATTTAACGTCATAACAAGGACGTTGCAGTGAGACATAAATGAAATTATTAAAAAATCCTTAATTTTAAAAATAATAACGTCATTAAAACTTAATTAGTATATTTAATTTTATACATTTATAAGTTGTTATCTAGCTCATATGTTCAAAAGTTTTCATAAGATTATTAACTTACTGAGGCTGGAGAAGAAGACGAACAGACTGGTGGCAAAAGCTCGGTCACGTGGGTCAACAATTCTAAGAATAAATCATTTCATGTACGAAATAAGTCAACCCAAAGGTATGCAAATCTAGGCGGACAACATTATGAAAATATATGCAGACACTGGTATGAAAAACTAGACAGACAATGTTATGAACTTCTAGGCAGACATTTGGATAAAGGAGAGGAGTGCGATTGGGAAAAGAGGCATGTTTTAAATTGTTTGACATCAGTTTCTGTTAGCTGTATCCGTAAGTGACAAATTACAGCATTACATTTTTTTCATGCACACTACAGGCTGAATTGACTGTACTAATTAGTCTAGCTATGTGTTGGGGTCACCCAGGGGGCATCTAGTTATGAGTCAGACATTCAAACACCTCTTTTCTTGTGTGAACCTATCTGATTTTTGGCCAATAATAATATATATGTATAATAAGTAATATAAAACATTTCTATATATTTATGGCCATAGTTAAATTAACTCATTTTTTCCACACAAAATGAAAATGTTTTAAATAGCAAAAACGAACAGACCTGAGAATAAGCAGACGCCTGGGAATCATGGCCAGTGAGCTGGCGATGTTCGCCAGACCATGCAGAAATATGTAGATGATGAAGTTCGTGTGGCAGTCGGTCTCACACAGGCCTGGGTGGACAGCGGAGCCTCGGCTCAAGTCGGTCAGCAAGGAGCAGTTGGTGAAGAGCTGTGCAGAAATACATGGACATCAAGAACATAAGCATTTTTTGGCGCCAAACTTATTTTAGTTTGTTTATCCTGGTTTACATCAAAGATGAAATTAATATCATGTGTTGCCATTGACAACTAGGAAGATCCTGATTTTATTTTGACTTAACAGGTGCTACCATCTAAGGGACCTGATTGTAAAGCATGATTTTTTAAACATTGAAAAATGTTTTAAAATGACTTTTGAAACATTTAAAACTGTCTTAAAATGACTTTGGAAACATTTAAAACTGTCTTAAAATGACTTTTGAAACATTTAAAACTGTCTTAAAATGACTTTTGAAACATTTAAAAACTGTCTTAAAATGACTTTCGAAACATTTAAAACTGTCTGAAAATGACTTTGGAAACATTTAAAGCTGTCTTAAAATGACTTTGGAAACATTTAAAACTGTCTTAAAATGACTTTGGAAACATTTAAAACTGTCTGAAAATGACTTTTGAAACATTTAAAACTGTCTTAAAATGATTTTTGAAACATTTAAAAACTGTCTTAAAATGACTTTCAAAACATTTAAAACTGTCTTAAAATGACTTTTGAAACATTTAAAATTGTCTTAAAATTACTTTAGAAACATTTAAAACTGTCTTAAAATGACTTTGGAAACATTTAAAACTGTCTTAAAATGACTTTGGAAACATCGGGAATTGTAATGAACGACTGCGTTTGAATAATTGACTGAGGCCTGGCCGTACTTTGCCATCAATCCCTGTACAGCCAGCATGACAAGGTGACAGATAGTTATTGCCATCATCCCCACAAGAGATGAGAACCTTGCTGAAGGTGCAGTCACACGTGTCTGTCAGATTCACCGGGACACCACTGGAGAGAAACATATCAACATGTTCAGCTCAGCTGGTTGAGTAAATACAGGACGTTATAGCCCCCCCCCCCTTCCCCCGGCCACAAACTAAGACAACACTGCGGGAGACTAAGGCTACAACATTTTTCTACAAATATATCCGAGTCTCCCTCATTACTTACAAGTCTCAATCAGTCCTTAAAAATCTCACTTATTACATAAAAGTCTCACTTAGTACTTAAAAGTATCCCTCAGTACTTACAAGTCTCACTCAGTCCTTACAAATCTCACTAAGTACTTAAAAGTCTCACTTAGTACTTAAAAGTCTCCCTCAGTACTTAAAAATCTCACTTAGTACTTAAAAGTCTCCCTCAGTACTTACAAGTCTCACTCAGTCCTTAAAAATCTCACTTAGTACTTAAAACTCGCCCTCAGTACTTACAAGTCTCCCTCATATCCGTAAATCTTCTCATTACTGCAACCAAACACAATATACAGAGGCGTGATTAAAACTGTGAAGATGTAGCTACTCATGACGATGTAAAGGTAGCCCATGCGAGTGTGCACCTTGCTGGCTACCCACGAGCTGCCAACCGTCCCAATGACGTGGCCGATGGTGGAGGAAATGCCTGGAGAAGGAGAAATCATGACATAGAAGGAACTCTGAACACTGTAAAGGTGTTCAGCATGGGAGTAAACAATGTAAAGGTGTTCAGCATGGGATTAAACAATGTAAAGGTGTTCAGCATGGGAGTAAACAATGTAAAGGTGTTCAGCATGGGAGTAAGCAATGTAAAGGTGTTCAGCATGGGAGTAAACAATGTAAAGGTGTTCAGCATGGGAGTAAGCAATGTAAAGGTGTTCAGCATGGGAGTAAACAATGATTCTAACGTTACGAGTTATCAAATGATATAGTATGAAGACCCACATTTCAAGTGTATCAACATGATATATTCTTCGCCCTGCACATGTGAACATGACCAAGGCAATATTCATCTTGGGCAGCAGCCCTCACTTGAGCTATATTTTTTTTAAAGTAATGGAGAGTGCCTATTTGATCATAAGGCAAGACTGAAACAATGGACCGGGATCCAGTTGATGACCAGCAGGGTGTGTGTCTGGCTGTGTTTTTTATATGCTTTCCACGTCACAGGAGTTCTCAACATCAAGTTATAAATTATGTTATGTTCTCGCTGTGTTATAATGGGTTGTGCCCTTGAAATAGATAAATTGTAGCCAAGTTTACCCGAAGCCAGCGTGACCTCCGACATGGGGACGTTGTACTGGTTGGCCATGTAAGTGCTTCTGAAGATAGACGTCCCTGACATTGGGATGGAGACGATGGCAATGTCTATCAGGAGTAGCAGGTAGGCTGGGTTTTTCAACATACGCAGCAAGGCTCTTGGGAAGTCTGGGAGCAGAGAGATTTTTTAAGGAAACATTGAGGTGGAACAAGAGATTGACTATTTAATAATGAACACAATAACACTTATTTATGTAACATTTGTAAACATTTCAGATGTTGAAAGTTGGATGTTATGATTAATAAATCTTACTATAAATTGTTGTGCTCTAACAGTTCATAGATTAACTAAGAACCCTCAGGATGTAAAGTACATCTTAGTTGAACAGTAAGACACTCTTTTTATAACCTGCTTTATGTCTTCTAAGTTTCCTATTTTAAAAATTCATTTTTAGTCCCCTGGCACTTAGCCATTCTTATTTTACCAATGTGTACTCAACAATTTCATCACTGTTTATTAAAACAATTGTATGTACAAAGACAGAACATCAAAAAATTTTTTTTTTAAATTATATTTGTATAAACCGTTAATGATAAAGGTTTTGTATTCAGTGGCGTAGGAGGTAGCTGGAGGTAGGCTCTGGGCGGCACTTATTTTTCTTTATATGGAGGGCCGGCATTTTAGGTCAACTGCAGTGTTTGTTTGTTTGTTTTTTTAAGGGGCGTCCACAATCTTGTACAGACCTTTAATAATATATTTGATGCTGTCTTGATTTTTCTCTTCTGATTTCTGCTGTTGGGCACGACCATTCCTTTTCCTCTGCTGCTCAAACACGAGGTCACCTGTCAGGCTGACCTTTCTCTCAGTAGGACCAGTGATAGTTGGGAACATGCTCGGTCTGAGGACAGTGACAAAAGGGATGTTCATAAGGGAACATTAGGGAACATGCTTGGTCTGAATACAGTGCTAATGCAGCACTGCCAGGGGTGGTCATCATATCTTTGCTGGACTGTCATTGGACAAAAATAATCACGTCCAGAAGCTGTGTGAATTCAAGTCTACGTTCAGAAGAGTACATCTCCCTGTTTAGCTTCCTATACAAATACTTCAAAACTGACTGATGCTCCATATAAAAAATAAAAATGTACTTAAGCCTGCAAATGCTATTGATGCTAAGTCTGTGAAACTGTTAAGACTGTAAACTCTGACTCATACCAAAGTACACGTACCTCCTGCTCCCTGGCTGATCACCACTGGTCAAGCTTTTCTTCCTTGATGTTCCTGTTAGACTCAGTCGTCTCTTGGTGCCCTCTGAAAGTCCTGGTGATAAGCCAGTGGTTATTATACTTGATTTTCTGTGGATGGAGCAGAGTCAACACACTGGATGTCGCACTGGATCAATGGATATCACATCACAGTAACACTATTTATTGCACATTCGAGGTATTGATATCATGGATAAATTGAAATAACATCTCTCCTACCTCCTGAAAATATCTAATCCCAACTTAATGTGCTTACATAACTTTTACTAGATGGAAAAATACCAGGAAAAATGTATTGAATTGTGCAATCAGCTGACAACAAAAACCAACTTTCAAAAGACATCTAAAAAATATGAGCAACTATTTTAGCAATAGCTTTATTATCCACAAGTTTTTGAAAAATACTTGACTTTTAACATGCTTTAACATGTGGCCAAGCTATTACATGATCTGAATAAGCAGGTCAGACCTAGACAGGGGACTTCATCTGAATTAGAAGGTCACACCTAGACAAGGGAGTCATCTGAATTAGCAGGTCAGACCGAGACAAGGGACTTCTTCTGAATTAGCAGGCCAGACCGAGACAAGGGACTTCATCTGAATTAGAAGGTCAGACCTAGACGAGGGAGTTATCTGAATTCGCAGGGCAGACCGAGACACGGGACGTCATCTGAATTAGCAGGTCAGACCTAGACAGGGGACTTCATCTGAATTAGCAGGTCAGACCTAGACGAGGGAATTCATCTAAATTAGCAGGTCAGACCTAGACAGGGGACTTCATCTGAATTAGCAGGTCAGACCTAGACAAGGGACTCATCTGAATTAGAAGGTCAGACCTAGACAAGGGACTTCTGTAAATATTAAAGCTTCCAAATTAATTGTTTAAACTTACTATTCCTGGATTTACAATAATAATAATAATAATAATAATAAAGTTCATTTCAAAAACACGCTTCATTCACAAAGGCTCGAAGCGCGGTACAAAGTCAACAAAAAACAAATCTATAATTCACCACATTTAAAACAAACGCAACACTACAAAAACTAATTACAAGCATACAATCTCAAAGTCTTTCTAGCCATTTCAACCCGGACCAACACAGCAACACATTATGGAAAATAAGGTAGACAATCATCCCAGAAGGTATTTGCGAAATAGATGTGTCTTTAGATCGGTTTTAAAGGACTCCAGTGTCTGGTTGTTTCTAAGATCGACAGGAAGGGCGTTCCAAATTGTTGGACCAGCAAATGCGAAAGTGCGCTTTCCGTAAGTCTCAAGGCAAACACGTGGTGTCGAGAGTTTGCCACTATCGGATGAGCGGAGCTCTCTAGTGGGTACATAAGGCGTCAGCAGCTCTTTCAGATAGGACGGCGCCAGGTCATGTAAGCAGCGGTAGCACAAAGTTGCGATTTTGTACTCTATGCGAGCACGCACCGGCAGCCAATGCAACTCTCTCAGAAGTGTTTTTGCATGGTCGAATTTGCGTTTGCGGAGAACTATGCGAGCCGCATTATTCTGTGCTATTTGAATTTTATCCAGGAGCGTAGCTGGAAGACCCACCATGAGAGCATTGCAATAGTCCATGCGTGATAGCACAAATGCAGACATCAGCCTCTTTGTTGCATCAATTGTTAGGAAGGGCCTGATTTGACTAATCCTGCGCAGCTCCAGAAAAATCGCCCTGCATAGCATGTTAATATGACTTTCAAAAGTTAGTCTTCTATCTAGGTAGACACCCAGGTACCGCACTGTTTGAGCTAACTCAATACGCACACCTGAGAGAGTAATGGATGTCGTGTTATTTGCAGATTTCTGCTTCTGAGCGGTTGCAATGGGGAGCAGCTCAGTCTTATCATCATTTAATTTGAGCTTGTTAATGGTCATCCAATTATAACATTTAAAAACAGTTCTTGATAGAACGCAAAGGCATATGGATAAGTAAAATTAATAGGGGCCCTTACTGACCTCACAGTATCCTCCACGCTTAATTGGTTTGAGATGGGTGGCGCGACATCTTCCTCCACCTTCCCGCCAGCAAATGTCACCACGGCTTTGTCCAGTGCTTTGCGTTGCTGCCTCTTGGAGATCAGTTTCCTTGGGAACAGCAGAATGGGGAATGATACCACCACCAACCCTGCACCAAACACAAGGAAGGACAACCACCAAGCTGCGACAAATCTGCCATCTTTAGGGTCCATCTCAGTGTCTGGGCAATAGAAATACCTTACAACTTACATATTACTTTAGATTACTTGTATTTGATTAACAAATCAATTGGTAAACTTATCAATGCAATTTTTTGAACTATGTTCATTATTTAACATATTTAATATGGATTCAACTCAAATACATAGTCAGTGAACTCAACAGCACTGATCGCATGTGATCCAATTAGGATGACTCTAAAAGATCTTTTTTTTTTTTTTTAAAGTTATTAGTTGCTTTTATCATAAGCTAAAAAAAACAACATCCAACTAGACTTAAAATTGACTCACGTTTCAAATCAATAGGAATCTCAGTCAGTATGCCATTGATCTGTCTCCCTACAGGACTTGCCAAGTCAGTGATGATGTGCTGAATGCCTTAGAAAAGTTGCGCAATTTCAAAACATTTAATTGTACGTTTGAAAGAAGATAAAACAAGGAAGATGTCTCAAATGCCAAAAGGTTCAATAAGTTATTGAATATAACAAATGAACTGACCTAAGTACACAATTGATTGATTGTAAATTCACTAACTGACCTAAGTACACACGTTATTGATTGTAATCCACTAACTGATCTAAGTACACAAGTTATTGATTGTAATCCACTAACTGACCTAAGTACACAACTTATTGATTGTAATCCACTAACTGACCTAAGTACACAACTTATTGATTGTAATCCACTAACTGACGTAAGTACACAACTTATTGATTGTAATCGACTAACTGACCTAAGTACACAACTTATTGATTGTAATCCACTAACTGACCTAAGTACACAACTTATTGATTGTAATCCACTAACTGACCTAAGTACACAACTTATTGATTGTAATCCACTAACTGACCTAAGTACACAACTTATTGATTGTAATCCACTAACTGACCTAAGTACACAACTTATTGATTGTAATCCACTAACTGACCTAAGTACACAACTTATTGATTGTAATCCACTAACTGACCTAAGAAGATACTCATCCTTCCCTTGTCTAGCATGTTGTCATCCATGTACAGGGTGGGTAAGAAGCCAGAATGGAAGGTATCGGTTATGCCCTTGACGCCTTGAACCACCAGAATCACAATGAAGGCCATCATGTTGGTCTGCAAGACGAACACACATACAAAATTGTGCTAACATTGGTCATCTTGTTGGTCTGCAAGACGAACACACACACACCACATTGGTTTCAGATTTGTCCCACCAGACACAGACATGTGTTTCACATGTGTACAACTCTTACAGAAGTTCTACATCTGGCTGACTTTATATGCATTCACATGTTCCTATACAAAGGACAAGCCAGATGGGCAGAGCGAGTTGTGAGAATGCCAGACAGCAGACTTCCTCAACAACTAATGTTCGGTGAACTCTCCAGAGAGAAACCCTCAGCTGGTGGGCAGAAGCAAAGCCTCAAAGGCTGTCTAAAGCTTCACTCAAATTCACGGACTTCGACCTGAATTCGCCAGAACCCCTTGCTATGGATCGTACACTCTGACAAGACAGACTCGCTGTCGGAACGCAGTCCCCAGAGAGTCACCAAAGCGTTCACGACCACTTCAATCCAACCAGGACACCAAAACAAGTGTGTCCCTCGTGCGGGGAAGCTTTCCAGGCTCAAACTTGACTGGCAAGCCGCCCGCGTACACGCAGATGAACATAGGCTTGGTCATCTTTGCATGCCAGTGACGTACAACAACTCTAAATGTTTCACCTACCGGTTCAGTACTGACAACTTTGTGCCGACCACCTGTGTCATTGGTCTTGACGTAGTGAGCGTCACACATGTACTTGGCCTGGTCCCCGAAGTCAGTGATGTTTGTACCATTGAAATGAGAAGCCGGTGGTCTGTGACAGGAACACAAATATCCACTTATAAGATTTTATTTTCATAGATGTTTAATAAGATTAAATTTCAAGCTCTTTTGTCTTTAATTAGAGATAACCAGATAACTGAAGCACTGGAACAAAAGGCAAATTTATAAAGACAAAATACGTGTATAAAAGGATCAGATCTTGGGATCTAATAACAAAATAATTGCCTAGTGCAAACAAGTCAAACCAAGCAGTATTTGTAAAATATACATGTAGATATATATTGTAACATATCAACACCAAAAAAAGCTTCAATTAATCTACTCAATTTATGACACCTGTAATTTTTAGGACCCCCTACTTACAATATTGGCAGCTCATATGGATCGGCAAACTGCAGGAAGGCTGGAGTCGCCAGTAGAATACCTTGGAACATTCCAGACAGACCAATGGTCACTGGGATGTTAACTGTCTATTAAAAAGGGAAGGTAATTGAAAAGTTGGAAAGGGACTGAAAAGGCGATTTGATAAAAGAGACTAATCTTCATATTGGTAGGACTCTTTGACACCTATCATCGTCAACATATATTAGTGTATACATAATTTGGTCAACATTTACTTGGCAATCAACAGAGAATTATTTGAGGGTCTTGTGGGGGGCGGGGGGGGGGGGTTAAATACCTTTAAATAGTGTGCGTACCTACATATCTTACAATAACTGCCCTACTTACATATCTTAAAAAAATTTTGACAACACCTATCATCGTCAACATATATTAGTGTATACATAATTTGGTCAACATTTACTTGGCAATCAACAGAGAATTATTTGAGGGTCTTGTGGGGGGCGGGGGGGGTGGGGTTAAATACCTTTCAATAGTGTGCGTACCTACATATCTTACAATAACTGGCCTACTTACATATCTTAAAAAAATTGTGACTACTCACAAATCTAACAATAATAGACCTACTCACATATCTTACAATAATTTGCCTACTTACAAATGTTACAATAATTGACCTACTTACATATCTTACAATAGTGGGCCTATTTACATATCTTAAAATAGCAGACCTGCTTACATATATCTCAATAGTGGGCTAATTACATATCTTACAATAGTAGAATTACTTACATATGTTACAATAATGGGCCTACTTACATATCTTACAATAGCTAATTATCTTATATATATTATCATTTAATTACATAAACTTACAAACTTTAATTGTGGAATTGGTTTCGTAGACCTATTGGAATGTACGCATTGCAAATTATTTAAATATTAGATGCCCTAAGATACATTACCATTGTCTGACACATGGGTTGGCCATATATAATATCATTGAAAGTTGAGAACCACTGTTATTTACATACAACAGCCAAAGATTCAAACACGATTACACATTAAGTATCTCGGCATTACTTTCATCGTACCTTTGCAAAATGTCCAGCAAATAAAATAGTGCTCATGTGCCCAGCCCTGGATACCGTGTCAAACAGACCTGCCTTGGAGTTGTCAATGTTGAACTGCTTCTCTATAGATGTCAGCTGTAACATGGGAACAATGTTCGAGTTAATGATATATACATAAATTAGAGTGAAAAACTTGTCAGTTCTACTTGTGGACAATGACCCTTGTGTTCCAGCATGTAGCGTCCATAAAATACAAAAGCTATCTTGGTACTGGTTAAATCTAATGGTTAAATTGACATAAATTAGTGGAATAAATCCGGGAATAAGTAATTTCAGAAAAGTGTAAAATGCAAACTTACATCTTTCAAAGCAATAATCCAATAAAATCTATTGTAAACATAGAACTAATGTATCTACATGGGTACATTGCAGTGGCATCAGATTATGTATGTACCATGCTGTGAACTTCGCACCTGCATGTGACAATCGGCAGACCAATCCCATACCTCATATCACTTAATGTAGACAACCACTGACCTATACATGGATCCTACTATGGACTCACCTGAACATGTAGGACACCATGGACTCACCTGTAAATGTATCCTACTTTTGACTCACCTGAACATGTATGACACTATGGACCATGCCAGAGAAGAGAGCGGATACCCCCATGCATGCCGCGAACACATAGAGATTAGCAAAGCGTGTGCCAAATCTTTTGGTCCTAAGACTCCCAACACCACAAGATATATCTACTTCTTCCTCTTCTTCCTCATCATTGATAGGGACAACTGGTTTTGAGAACCCCTGAAAAGAAATCATACGTATGATGTTAAAGTGGACTTAACCACAAACACAAACGTTTTTTTTTTTTAAAAAACTAGGAGTACAAGCAAGATGTACTAGATACAATAGGACAAGTGACTGCAATGAGGTTACAACAATGGAAATAAGTGAAACAAACTCTGAGAAAACATGAAAACAAATCTGGTAGAATACTGGGTTGTATTTGTTGAATTCTTTTTATCTTCTAGTAGCACCATTGAGAGATCTTCTAGTAGCGCCATTGAGAGATCTTCTAGTAGCACCATTGAGAGATCTTCTAATAGCGCCATTGAAAGATCTTCTAGTAGCACCATTGAGAGATCTTCTAGTAGATCCATTCAGAGATCTTCTAGCACCATTGAGAGATCTTCTAGTAGCACAATTGAGAGATCTTCTAGTTGCACCATTGAGAGATCTTCTAGTAGCACCATTGGGAGATCTTCTAGTAGTGCCATTAAGAGATCTTCTAGTACCACAATTGAGAGATTTTCTTGTAGCACCATTGAGAGATCTTCTAGTTGCACCATTGAGAGATCTTCTAGTAGCACCCTTGAGAGATCTTATAGTTGCACCATTGAGAGATCTTCTAGTAGCACCATTGAGAGATCTTCTAGTAGCACCATTGAGAGATCTTATAGTTGCACCATTAAGAGATCTTCTAGTTGCACCATTGAGAGATCTTCTAGTTGCACCATTGGGAGATCTTCTAGTAGTGCCATTAAGAGATCTTCTAGTACCACAATTGAGAGATTTTCTTGTAGCACCATTGAGAGATCTTCTAGTTGCACCATTGAGAGATCTTCTAGTTGCACCATTGAGAGATCTTCTAGTAGCACCATTGAGAGATCTTCTAGTAGCACCATTGAGAGATCTTATAGTTGCACCATTGAGAGATCTTCTAGTTGCACCATTGAGAGATCTTCTAGTTGCTAAATTGAGAGATCTTCTAGTTGCACCATTGAGAGATCTTCTAGTAGCACCATTGGGAGATCTTCTAGTAGTGCCATTAAGAGATCTTCTAGTACCACAATTGAGAGATTTTCTTGTAGCACCATTGAGAGATCTTCTAGTTGCACCATTGAGAGATCTTCTAGTTGCACCATTGAGAGATCTTCTAGTAGCACCATTGAGCGATCTTATAGTTGCACCATTGAGAGATCTTCTAGTAGCACCATTGAGAGATCTTATAGTTGCACCATTGAGAGATCTTCTAGTAGCACCATTGAGAGATCTTCTAGTAGCACCATTAAGAGATCTTCTAGTACCACAATTGAGAGATTTTCTTGTAGCACCATTGAGAGATCTTCTAGTTGCACCATTGAGAGATCTTCTAGTTGCACCATTGAGAGATCTTCTAGTAGCACCATTGGGAGATCTTCTAGTAGTGCCATTAAGAGATCTTCTAGTACCACAATTGAGAAATCTTCTAGTAGCACCATTGAGAGATCTTATAGTTGCACCATTGAGAGATCTTCTAGTAGCACCATTGAGAGATCTTCTAGTAGCACCATTGAGAGATCTTATAGTTGCACCATTAAGAGATCTTCTAGTTGCACCATTGAGAGATCTTCTAGTTGCACCATTGGGAGATCTTCTAGTAGTGCCATTAAGAGATCTTCTAGTACCACAATTGAGAGATTTTCTTGTAGCACCATTGAGAGATCTTCTAGTTGCACCATTGAGAGATCTTCTAGTTGCACCATTGAGAGATCTTCTAGTTGCACCATTGAGAGATCTTCTAGTTGCACCATTGAGAGATCTTCTAGTTGCACCATTGAGAGATCTTCTAGTTGCACCATTGAGAGATCTTCTAGTTGCACCTTTGATAGATCTTCTAGTAGCGCCATTGAGAGAGCTTCTGGTAGCACCTTTGATAGATCTTCTAGTAGCGCCATTGAGAGAGCTTCTGGTAGAACCTTTGAGAGATCTTCTAGTAGCACCATTAAGAGTTCTTTAAACGCTTAACAAAAAAAAAAAATAAACACTGCTTATTTACCAGATAGAGCTACATTCAAACACTCCAATAGTAAACACGAATAGAACAAGTATGCATTGTTTAACAATTAGTTGGCCTCATATTGTCATTTTTTAAACTTTTTTAAATGGAAATGCATTTTGTTATTAAATTGTGAGTTCTACTTGTTGTATACACAACTGACAAAAACAAATGCATGATGTCCTAAGATGTATTGAATAGTTTTTGTTTGTGAACAAAAAAGATGATATTTGACAGAAGAAAACCTTTTCTTAATGAAATAAGTTGTTAATTTTTTCGTTTTAAAAACTATGTCTAATCAGTAGCAGCCTATCAGACAAGTGCTTTACCAGCAGACAAAATAAATCATAAAACATGATACAACTAAAAGTCCCAATTAAGTCCTGTGTTCTCAAACGAATTTTTAATCACGGTCCAATCAGACTCACGGCGGTTCTCAAACGACACAACGCTATTGAAACAATGCAAAGCAACACTTGTTATTGCAAGCACAATGACATGTACCAAACAATTTAAATGCTTCCTTAGTATAATTCCTATTGATAGTGCATTAACATGCCCTTCTGCTAGACTAGTGGCACATCTTCTATGCCATCAACCACCCCCCCCCCCCATTTCATTCGTCATATACAAGTCAAAGAAATGTCCCTTTTTAAGGCATCAAATCAACAGAGACGAAATCTATCAAGCTTGCAATTGGTTTATACAGCTGATTTCATCTAGTTCAAAGGGGTCATTTCATCTAGTTTTAAGAGGGTCATTTTATCTAGTTCAAATGGGTCATTTCATCTAGTTTTAAGAGGGTCATTTTATCTAGTTTAAAGTGGTCATTTCATTTAGTTTTAAGAGGGTCATTTCATCTAGTTCAAAGGGGTCATTTCATCTCGTTTTAAGAGGTCATTTAATCTAGTTCAAATGGGTCATTTCATCTAGTTTTAAGAGGGTCATTTTATCTAGTTTAAAGTGGTCATTTCATTTAGTTTTAAGAGGGTCATTTCATCTAGTTCAAAGGGGTCATTTCATCTCGTTTTAAGAGGTCATTTAATCTAGTTCAAAGGGGTCATTTCATCTAGTTCAAAGGGGTCTTTTCATCTAGTTAAAACAGGTCATTTAATCTAGTTCAAAGGGGTCATTTATCTAGTTCAAAGTGGTCATTTCATCTAGTTCAAAGGGGTCATTTCATCTTTGTTAAAGGAGTCATTTCATCTATTTTAAAGGAGTCATTTCATCTAGTTCAAAGGGGTCATTTTATTATAAATTTAAATTCTGTACGCATACACTGTTGTGATTTAACACAAAGAAAATTCATCATTCAAACAAATTTAAAAAAAGTCTTGTAATAAAACATACACATATGGTTTACACATAAAAGCAGCAACTTTCATTGACGTATGTGAGTATGACGTTCATGTGTCAAGTTGACATATTTATTTTTATGCGAAAAAGTAATTACTTAAAAAGCTATACCTGTATGCTATTGAAAATCTCGCATGGTCCAAACAACACAAGTGATCATGTCAACAAATGAGATGAAATGGAAGACTTTTTTAGTTGAAACGTTCATGCCCTACATTATGTTTCAAAAAATGTAGATTATCTTCTCAAATTTTCCATTCGCTTTGAGGACTGTTGCCCTCGCGCCACCCATGTTAAACCATGTGCCGCAGTTGTGGAGCTCTATTTAGTCCATGCCATAAAAAAAAAAAAAAGCTATTTTTAACAACTTTACCAACCTGTTGGTCATCAGATACTGGACCACCATAGATCTGGTCAGACTTTATCGCATCTCCGTTCTGATTTAAGGAATATCCTTTAACTTCATATCCCGTCTTGTCTACTGTATCCTTACCAGCAGGCATGTTTCGTGAACACTTAAGTAAAATTAGTACTTAAATTCTAAAACAGTTGATGACCACTAGAACTTCAAAGCTGCGAAGGAAAGAATATAAGGCTAGAGAAGAGAGTAGAAAATGCCTAAAGTGCCTTGAAAATCACTAGACTAGCAGGACTAGGTGAGTAGAATCTCAAACATTGGCAGACATCCGACAGTGCAAGGCACTATGACCAACAGATAGTTCAAAGGTCATTGGTGGTGAAAGCTGGCAGCCAGCACTTGGCTGCAAGATTTGATAGTTCTCCAACACACTACAGCTTCCGAGCAGGGCATAGATTTCAGATGGTATCTTAAACACACACAAGGATCCACGGGCAAACATCTTTCGATGGGGGACTTTTATACTGACAATGTCGTGAGTGCCGGAGGAAATAGGCCTGGTTCATTGTGGCGTTGTGACGTACACTACGTCCAGACGTCACTGTGTTTGTTGACATCCATGACATCCATGACATCCCTCACCAGATCAACATTTCCTACATGAGTCCCACCTTCTCTTCTTCTTTCAAGGGCGGAATCAGGGGGAGGGGGGTGGGACATTGGATCAAGTAGACCACTGTTTTTCTCTCTGTTTGTTATCAGAGAATATTTACCTTTTGAGATCTAATATGGCTTGAGTAGTATTATTTTAATAATGAACAACAAGCCACATCCATGTTCGAGTCACGCTGTCACAGGAAAGTTAGAACTTTATTTATGATACAGTGAACTTGGTGCACCAGTGACGTCATAGGTGGTTCAATGAACAAAGAATACACATTAGTGGGCGCCTTTAAAAGGGGAGAGGTGGGGTGTGGAGCAGCTTGGGTCTTGTCTTGGCGCCCCAACATCTATATAACAGGCAGGCACGGGTGAAGGAAGATGGGGAAGAGGGGTTGGCCTACCCTGGGTGGTACTATTTTGGGGCGGCATTGTATGTTCCCTTTAGATACTTCATATATTGCTTATTTTGTATTTGTTTTCGTTAATTGGGGCGGCAAGACACCGCCCCCCTCTCGACACAAACTCTAGCTACTCCACTGTGGTAAATGGTGGGGGGAGTGCTATGGGTTGTTCAAGGATCAACGTTGGCTTCAGCAACCCGATCACATGTTTCTGTGTCTTTGTTATTAGAAGTAAGAGAAACGTCCAATAAAAACAAGGAATACAAATTAAACAGTTTGTTTTCCGACACACTAACTACACATTGGAATGAGATCTTCGTGTGTCATGACGTCACGGTGATCATCTATTTCAGTGGTCACTGACATGACATCGTGTCAACACAGTTCTGTTAATCAACATCATTGTTTCTTTGCACTTTAAACAGTTTGAGATTTCAGAATGTCCGAATTTCTGTAGTATCCTGGCAAATAAATGCACTGTAGATGATAATAAAATGTTAACTATTTGGACATGCGGGGCATGTGGCACTTGGCCTGGAGATGTTTGCGTACAGTACTTGAGCTGTGTCCCGATGGACTAGTGTCGTCACACCAGTCTCTGGCCTGACACTGACCTCTTACCAAAACACGATTTGAGATAAATTTCTGGACAGTTAAAGAAACGGCTGCAGTGGGTTATTTTTTCAATGGTGGTTGGTAGTGGCAATTGGACATCAGTGGTGGGGTCAGAGTGCTGGGGCAGCAGTGGTGGGATCAGAGTGCTGGGGTTGGAGTGGTGGGGGTCAGAGTGCTGGGGCAGCAGTGGTGGGGTCAGAGTGCTGGGGTTGGAGTGGTGGGGGTCAGAGTGCTGGGGCAGCAGTGGTGGGGTCAGAGTGCT